ATCACAGGGTATCGAAGGAGAGAGACAGTGGAAGGGGGGATATTGGAAAAAAAAACAGACATAGCCGGGGGTGAACAAAAAAAAAAAAAAAAAAAAAAAAAAGAGAAAGTGAAGAAAGAGAAGAGTGAAGGAAGGGAAGTAAGTGGCGAGGGTGACGAAGGTGAAGGTGCCGGCTTGCTGAGTCTGTCTGTCTACTCTTTTTGCATTGAGTCTCTTTTGTCCTAAGTGTTAGGACTCTGTGGATGAAGGATAGGGCCTTGCTGCCAAACCTGCACGGGACTTAGTAGGACTAATCTCTACTCTGGCATCGGGAGACCTGGGCATGAGCGGCGAGCGCTCGTTAAACAACTCGTCTAGCCCAATGACCGGTACTGTCCGGCAGGTCTACTCAGTTTCRGTGTAGAGGGTCCGAACTCCGAGCTGTAGGCTGAAACGAAGGYCGTCTTTAAGTGTTGAGGCCTGGTTGAACCACTCCGCTACCAGACCTAGTAAGGCTGATGATCTGTGTCTGACGACTCGACTGTCCCTAAGGATACGAACCCCTCCAAGGACCGGTGCAGACCGGCGGGCTGCTCGGTGTGACGGAACGGCTGAGTTGTGGGCTGAAATCACCAGGAAGAACCACGCTGATCACGTCGTCCTGACTGCGACGTTAAAGAATTCTTGCGGAGTTTGGGGGAACTCCTTAAATGCCTCCTGATCAGTTGTTGGTTTCGTAGTGACAGCCTTAGAGTAGTTTAGAGTCAGTGACCATAGTTGACAGGGTCTTACCCTGTGGTCCTTACAAGAGTCAGTCAGTGGGCCAGTGTCTGGGTAGGTCTGCGTGGTGAGGAGTGGGACTTTTGTCGTGCACCTGACACCACGATGGATGACAATCCGATGTATGGATTGCTTTGGGTTCTCCCTCTGGGGGACCCTTTGGTGTCTCCCTATTCGAAGGAGGAGGAGGAGAAGATGGCCGCCATACTGAGAGAGACGAAGGAGGAGGAGGAGGCCAAGAAGAAGGCCTTAGTGGAGGAGCAGGCGGCCAAGTTGGAGAAGATTGAGGAGGAGGCTGCCAGGGAGAAGGAGAGAATAAAGAAAGGAGAAGATGAGAAGCTGAAAGAAGTGGAAGAGGAAGAGGAAGAAGATGAAACGCCACTGCAAAGAAAGAGAGGGCAATACAGTGGCAGCAGAGATGAGAAGAGGATGGAGTGGAAGCTGGCAGTGATGAGGGAGAAGAAGAGGAGAGTGGACGCGGCAGCGGAGGCGGCAGAAGAATTGGAGGAGGTACAAAAGATAGAAGAGCAATTAGCCGCCCAGACTGAACTCCCGAAGCAAATGCAAGTCGTAGCCCGAAACGTTGCACGCCTAGCACGGATCCAGGCGGAGCAATATGACTTCAGTAGGAGTCAACATATAGTTGTGCGTTCCATACGACTGGGATTTCGAGACTTTGCTCGTGAGTTGGTGGGAGTTGTAGGGGCCGAGGTGGGCCACCGCCTCGACAAGACTGAGCGGTTTTGTGCTGGCGCCATTGAAGGCGTCAAGGCTAAAAAATCATTGTCAAACATGGCTATCTTCTCTTTTTTGGTCGGCGGCCGGTCAAATACAAAGGCCCTTTAGGGCCCAAATTTCCCATGTTGTACTAAATTACTTATAGAGGTATGCATACACTCTAGGAATACCTCAGGATAAACAACCATCCAAACAACTCCAATTACAAGAGTTGCAAACACGAAGTGGTCCGTTCCACCAAGAGTCCATTTGATGGTGACCTAATTTACTGGAGTCTTAGGTTACAGAAACATTTGAATTAGATTAATGTTTTTATAAATAT